CCCAGCCAGCCCAGCCCCACCCCCACCCCAGCCCCAGCCCCAGCCCAGCCCAGCTCCTGCCCCACCCCCGCCCAGCTCCTGCCCCAGCCCAGCCCAGCTCTTGCCCCAGCCCAGCGCCCGCCAGTGACTGAAGCGTGCGCCCCCAGCACTGCGGAACCAGATGTAGGAGCCGGACTCCAGGGTGAGGACACTGCCGTCAGGGACATCTCGGTGGTTACAGGAGAACCTGGGTGAGGAGGAATCCCCAGGGCAAGACTAGGGAGCAGCAGGAATGTGCAGCCTGCCTCGCTCTGTGTTCACCCCGCGCAGTGGGAGCCCAGGCCCCCATCACTGCACCAGCGCCCCACCTGTAGTTAAAGGGCCATCTCCGACTCAGAAGGAGACTCAGATGCCCCCCAACAATTAGAAGTGTTGTTCTAATTCCCCATGAAACCTCACCAGCTGAAGGTCTTGGAAAGGTCATTCAAGAACACGGTGTCCCCAAACCCCCATCAATAGAGGGGAGAGACTCTCTTGGAAAAGTGGACTCTCCCACCGTCCACAGACACTTTATTCACGTCCAACAACGCTCACTGTGAGGAGAGGTCATGCGTCTATCACAAGCCCTAAGTGTCCCGCCCAAAACCAATTTCTTCCCTTTGCTCTCTCCCTTCAGCCCCAGGAGACAGGAAACACTGCCCACCATCTTCCATACGGCAACCTCCGATGTCTCAGCGGTGGTCATTCAACCTTTCTACTCTCTCTCAAGACCATGCATCCTTCCCTGAACCCCAGGAGGACAGCCAGGTGGCACGGCCCCCACTGCTGCTCATCCCACATACATGGCTGACCATGACCACAGCCACTTTTCAGCCACATCCAGACTCAGCCTCCTAATTCTCCACCCTCAGCTCCAAGCAGCCACTACCACTTGGGGGTAAGCACGTGCTACAAACCCGATCCTCAACCTCAGATGTCATGTTTAACCATCAAGATCCCTCAACTTGATTATATAAGCTTCGACATCCTTTGTCATAATAGCTGCCTTCACATATTGATGACTTAGTATATAAGGCACTGGTATAAGCCCCTTACAGGTCTCAATTCGCTCCAGCCTTTCAGCAGCTCCATGAAGGGGTGCTGGTATGATTTTCAGAGATGCAGAGAAGGATCAGTGACCTGCCAAGGCCATACTGAACTATCTCGCCGGCTCGCACCAGCCATAGCAGCAGCAGACCCTGAGCCGGCCCTGGGGGCTATGACTGGGGGGGGTCCCCACCCTGCCCACAGTTGAGGGTGGTAGCCTCACCCTCACAGAGCAGTCACTTGGCCTCTCCAGCATCTGTCCTCTGCAGGGTGGAGGGGATCTGAGCCACACATGGTCTGAACCATGACCCCGTCAGGTACATGGCAGAGTTGTCAAAAGCAGGTGAGACGACCAAGGGCCAGTTGGTCATTTTACTCAAAGAAATGACAGAAGCTGCAACCTTCTCCGTGGAAACCGTACGTCCCAGCAGTCTGTGGGGCGGGCCTCATTGCCATAATCCCTGGGGCCAGAACTGGGTAACGAGTGTTTCCACCTCCCGGCATCGCACGTGCCTGCAGATTCAATCCAATACTCCTGACTTGTACTCCACACACAGACCCCACAGTGTGGTCCTTGCCTGTCACAGACATGCTGTGTGAGGTGCACATCCACCCGGGCAACTCCCTGACCACCAGGGCCTCGTTCCCAACTGCGAAACAGGTGCCACCACAGTGGCCGCTCCCAGCGCTGTGAGTGAGCACTTACACGTGAAACAGACCCGAGGGACAGTGTCCCGGGACAGGACGGACAGGAAGGAGGAAAGAAGACACGTTCTGGCCAGAAGGGCCACACAGGGTCAGAAGGAAGAGGCCGCAGCATCCGTCCCCGTCACACTGGGAAGAGGCTGAGGGGGTGGGGGGGGCAGGGGAGAATGAACACATACTGAGAGCTCCCATGGGCTAAGACCTGTGCACAGTGCTTTATATGTGAATTCAGATTTATTCTTCATTCATTCTTTCAACTCCTGTTTGCTGTGCACCTACTGTGTGCCCAGCACTGTGTGGGAGACTGATCACACGGTGGTGTGTGAGGCCAGCAGGGCCCCCACTGGTGGAGATTTTAGGCTAGCAGGGGAGACAGCCATCACCCCATTAGCTGGTGACAACTGTAATCAGTGCTGCCGGGGGAGTTCGGTGCCTTGGAATGTGATGGAAGGACCACTTGCAGGCTGTGACCTTTCAGAGGAAGGGATATTTTGCCTGAGCTCTGAAGTGTCCACGAAACTAACCCTGCGACAGGGGGGATGGGCTCCCCAGACAGCACTGCAGCGCATGAGCGGGGCCGGGCGAGAGGTCACAGAAGGCGCTGGAGACTGAAGGGAACGTGGGCCTTGATCCTGGAGGCACTCTGGGGCCACGGGGGGCGGGGGACAGGGTGGCTGGGGCGGGGCCGGGAATTTGGAACTGCATGCATCTGTTCTGTGCAGGGCTTCTCCTAGTGCGGTCCTGGGCCAGCGACCTCAGCCTCACTGGGGAACTTGCTAGAAATGCGGATTCTCCGGCCCCACCCCAGAGCTGCTGCATCAGGAACCGGCCACTGAGGAACGTCTATTGTAAAGGCTTAGGGAGACTCTTCTGAACGTGGGGGACCAGTTCGTCTCGTGCTCAAATATTACTTCCATGCAAAATCGACCCAAAACTACAGGCCGGGCCTCATGTACATTTCACACCTCTGCCTCTGCCTCTGCCTCCAAACTCACAGTGACTTTCCCCAGCTTCCATCCTCCTTCTGAAAAGGCTTCCCCACCTCCCCACTTCGGCTGCAGAGTCCTCTCCCCAGCCGGCCCCTGCCAAACGTCTTAGTTTCCTTTTCCTTGTGTCCCTGCTAATCGTTTCTTCGGGGAACCACACTCAGGACACAAATGAGAGAGCGACTATTACAGGGAGTCTTTAAGAGAAAGTCTGAAAGTCATGGGAAACACAATGAAAATGAGAGAGAACGGTGGGGGTGGGGGGAAAGAAAGACATCTGGGCAAAGTTTTAAAAGACCGGGCATGCTCAGCCTTGAGCATGGGGCGCCGCGGTGACAGTTTCCTAACACGGGAGGAATGCACGGAGGAGAAAGGGATCCGCTTTCCACTCATCAGCGAGCACAGAGCAAGCAGGACGGCTCAGGTTTCAGCTGAGAAAGCGTCTGTCGTGTGTTGGAGCCGGAGCAGGGGGAGCTGCCAAGAGAGCCGGTGAGATCATCCTCGCTGAGATGCTCGCGATGAGGTCACAGCGGCTGGGTCGCTGTCTGTCAGGACCGACAGGGGTCTGAGGCCCCGCCAGCCCTGCCGGGGGTGTCCCTGTCACCTGGCAAATCCGCCTCCTGGGCAGGCCAGGTGCCAACTCCCAGCTACTGTGTTTTGCTTCTGATACTCAGGAATCCAAGGGACAATGTGCACCTTTGCAAAATGTCTCAGACCCCCTGTTTTCCTGGAGGCCAGGACCCCAGGCATATGTTTCACAGAAAAGCCCACTTACTCCTACTCCTATCTCCCTGGTAATGGCAGCGGCAGCAACCGTCACATCAGCAACAGCACTGAATGCCTGAGCATTTGCTCTGTGCCAGCACCAAGCACGCATCCTTCCCTCAGGCCTCACCATTTTCAGAAGACCCATTTAACAGATGAAGAAACCGAGGCTTAAAGAAGGCCACTTATTTGCCACGACCCCACTGCCAGTCACATCCAGGCTGAGATTTGAGCCCCGGGTTCTCTGACATCATAGCCCATGAACACGATAAGGCCTGTACATTGCTGGAAATGAAGGATGTGCGTCAGATGCCCGACAAGGAATTGATCCAAATGTGGCACCCACCACCCTGAAAACTTCCAGACTCAGTGGGGGCTGGCCCCCCGGTACAATGGAGAACGAGTACCTCTTAAAAATCAGCCACTCTGTCTCCTCACCCCCCACCCCCACTGCTCCAGGTCTACTGATACTTAAAACCAAGTCTCTCCCAGAAGGTACCCCCCAGCCCCGTCTACACCCCCCTATGCCTGACCCCTCAGAACTCCAGCACTGGCCTGGATGAGCTGACAGCGCTGCTGGCAGTGTGGACGTCCTCCACACCACATCACCCCCTCCGAAACATATCAGCGCAGGGTGTCCACAGCATCTTGATAGCCACTGCCCAGCATGTGGTTTCAATATTCACCGGCACTCTCCTTGCAGGACCCCTGACAGCTGCTGTGATCAGAGGGGCTGTTGTGCAGATATCATGGCTTCACATGACCCTGCTCAGATTTCTGTCCCATCTTCTGCACAATGTAATGCTAGGCTCGCCTGCGTCTGCTCCCTCTGTCCCGTTCTGGAGCCCTAAAGCAGCTGAAACAGCTTATCACAGACTTGGGAGCAGGGTTTTCCTCTGCACTTGTGACGCTGAGCCAGCACCGTGGCCTCACCCCCGAGCCTGCACCGCAAGGCTCTCCTGGGGCCTCACTGATGCAGACGGCTCAGCTCAGGGGACCAGCTGAGCCACTCCGGACCTGGCTCTTCAGAACTGAACACCCATCCGGCCCTCTTAAAGAGCCACCAAAAACAAGCTCAGGAGGCAGCGACCACGGGCGAGCGTCCGGTCACTGGCTCAGGACCGAGCGGCGGGAAGGGCACGGCCTGGGCTTGCTGGCTCAGGCAGGCTTCCCGTGAGCGGGCAGACCCGGCAGGGCGGAGAAAGGGAGGGCTTTCCTGCTGTTAAGACGGCTGCACGCTGCTGTCAGGCCTGGAGCCCGCTGAATGAAATCTGTTCCTTCTTGACGGAGAAGCTGAGTTCAAGCCACAGATGTATATTCACGGGTATCTTAATTCTCCTTCCAGCTTCACCAACTTCAGCGGAGCTTAAGAGATGCAGAGAGACGGGGAGGGCCAGAGAACAGGCAGTGCTGCACCCCGAGGGGGCGGCGACCTTCCAGAGCTGCTCTTTCCAACCAAACAGAGGAAGGGGCAGGGGGAGGGGAGGCAGAGAGGACTCCAACCTGTGACGGTGACCGTCACACACCAAACAGCCCCACGAGCACCAATGCTCCCCAGTGAACTCAGCCAAGACACGCAGGCCCTCATCCACCCGAGTCAGCTCTTAGCTGCTTTTTCCAGAAGATGTGCTTGTTCCAAACAACCATTCCCCTGGGGCCATCCTTTGTGGCCCTGTTGCCACCATGCCTATGCTCCACACACCGTAATCAGCAGCACATACCTGGGTGCAGAGGGAGGGCATCCCGTGGGAAGAAGGCTGTAGAAAGGTTCTCCGTGCAGGGCCAACTGGCCCTCACCAGCATCTACCCAGGAACCTAGGCCACATTACACCAACCGTGGCTCAAGAAGTTCAGCCCCCGAAACTGTCACCCACCCTTGGAACATGCCGAGGACAAACAATGAGGGAAATTAAAGTGAGAGTCAGTCACCTTCATAGAGCCCATAGCTTGGAAAGTCACAGCTAGTCTCGCAGGGGTCAGCGCCGCCAGCATCGCATTGAATCTCGCTCTCCTGTCCTTAATGGGGGAGTGGTACTGCCCATCTGGAGCCACGGAACCGAACCTGTGGTGCGGGAGAGGCAGGTGGAAAAGAGAGGTGGGTTAATGGAAAAGATGGCCATGGCGCCCAGAAATGAAGTCAGGTGGCTCCCACGAGCACACACTGGGAAGTCACCCAGGTTTCCCCACCCTGGAACCTCCCTCCCGAGATGGGGAGCGGGGAGCAGGGGAAGTGCCTCCCCACGAGATGCTGACTCATGGAAATTAAGAGCAGATCTCCCCCCACTACCTACCCCTGACTTAGCAGTGGTCCCTGCCAAGGAGAGGCAGGAGGACCGCCAGCACAAAGCCAACAGCGGAGCCTGAGCATGAGGACCGCACATCAATCCACTTTTTTGTTATTGAGATATAAATCATATACCACGAACTTCACCCTTTTAAACTGTTCAACGGCTTTTAGTATTTTCACGAGGTTGTGCAACCATTACCACTATCCAATTCCAGAACATTTCATCACGCCAAAAAGAAGCCCTATGCCGTGAGCAGCCACATCCCACGTCCCCCACCCTCCAGAGCCCCACACCCATCACTCTACTTTCTAGCTCTATGGATTTGTCTGTTCTGGACATTTCACATCAGTGGCATCACACAATTAGTGGCCTTTGTGTTTGGCTTCTTTCACTTGACAGCTTTCAAGGTTCAGCATGTTGTAACACGTATCAGTACTTGATTCCTTTTTATGGCCAAATGGTATTCCGTTGTATCGACACACCATCTGTTGCTTATCCATTCATCAGCGGACGGATATCTGTGCTGTTTCTACTTTCTTGGCTATTATGAATAATTATACTACGAACATTCATGTATAAGTTTTTTTGTGTGAATATATGTTTTCAGTTCTCTTGTGGACCATGTTTTCAGACATCCTGAGGAGCAGAACTGCTGGGTCACATGAAAATGGCAAACTTTTGAAGAGATGCCAAGTTCTTTTCCAACGTGGCAACATCATTTTACATCCCCACCAGCAGTGGATGAGAGCTTCAAATTCTCCACCAACACTCGTTACCATCTGTCTCTTTTACTACAGCCATGAAGTGAGTGCAATGTGGTATTTCACCGTGGTTTTCGCTGGCATTGCCTTAATAACACTGATGTCGAACATCTTTGCATGTTATCAGCAGTGCGTATATCTTCCCTGGATAAACGTCTATTCATCTTTTTGCCCTTTTTCAATTGGCTCATTTGTCTTTTTATTATTGAGCTGTAATATAGTTGCTTTTATATTCTGGATACTAGACTCTTATGACGTATATGATTTGCAAATATTTTCTCCCATTCTGCAGATTGTCTTTCCACTCTCTTCATGGTGCCCTCTGCCACACAAGTTTTTTTAATTTTGATGAAGTCCAATTGATCTATTTTTTTCTTTGGTTCCCTGTGCTTTTCGGGTCCCACCTAACAAATCAAGGTCAGAAAGATTTACATGTATGTTTTCTTTTATGAGTTTTATCATTTCAACTCTTACATTTAGATCTGTGAGCCATCTTGTGTTAATTTTTGTACACGGCATGAGGTAAAGGCCCAACTTCATGCATTCACATGTGGACAACCAGTTGTTCCAGAAAATCTGCTGAAAAGACACTTCTTTCCCCATTCAATTATCTTGTCATCTTTGTTCAATATCAATTGACCATAAATGCATGGATTTATCTCCAGACCCTCTATTCTATCGCATTGTCCATACATCGAGCCTTATGCCACCACACTGTCTTGATTACTGCAGATTTGCGGTAAGTTTTCATGTCAGGGATGTGATTTCTTCTGCTTTGTTCTTCTTCATCAAGATTGTTTGGGCTATTCTTGCATTTCCATATGAATTTTAGGACAGTTTCTCATTTTTTTCAAAAAAAAGGCAGCTATATTTTGATAGAGATTTCATTGAATCTGAACACCTACTTACAGACCCACTTTTGATCAAGTGATAAATAAAGCAGTGTTATCTCTGCTGTTCTGTAGTATCTGGAGGGGGAGCGGGGAGCTTAAACACCAATGCAATGGTTTTTAAATCAAATCTTGCTCATCAAAGAATATTCTATGTATTCTCATCACTTCTACAGACTGTGCGGCCCCTATCATTTTCCTTTCTGGTTGAATCTGACTTTCTAATCTCTAGTCCACTGGATGAGCCAGTGGGCCCAGATTCTGGCAAAGAACTGTCCAGGACACTAAAATCCCATTAGGGTGGGTGAGAAGTGGGGAGCTGCGTGTCTGTGGCTTTCCTTCCCTCTTCCCCATCTCCCAGGGTGGAGTGATGCTGATAGCTTGATAAGTGACCAAGAAATGCGCAGGCACCTCTGGGGAAGGCTGGTGGTCCTCAGACCGCCTGGCATCGGCGCTGGTCATTCCTAAGGGGGGCTGGGGGCTTCACCACCCACCAGGATAATTGCAAAGAAGCTTTCGTCGTTGCCAGTTCACTTCCTACCAATCCACAGGATGGAAAGTTAACAAGGAGAATCTGGTTCATTTTAAGTTTGCTTCCCCCATATTTTCCTTAAACTGTTGGTATCTATTTGCCAGCAAGAACTCGCAAGCAACAAAAAGGAGTAAAGTGTTTGAGGGACATCTATAGGAAAACAGGGAGCAAGCCTCATGGCTCGCTTTTTCACGTATTTACATGACTGTGGGTCAGGATTTTTATTGGGTCCGTGAAATGCTGCTGAGAAAAGTAAAGGCAACTGGTGTTTCCTAGTCCTGCAAAGAGCATTGTGAACTCCTGAGGCTCCACCCCTGGAAGGCAGGCACCTGTGGAAGCAACCCTCACCTCGTTGGTTAACCTGCCTTGACCTCCCTGAGGGATGCTGGGAGATGACACCGAACACCTCTGACATGACCCGCCCAAACTGAACTGGTTTTAACAGCCTCCGAAGCTGCAGGGCGGTACCTTATCTTCTGTCATCCACAAAGGAGGCAACAGCACATCATTTTATCATAGCCAAAGCAAAGTTTTTTTCTAAAGGAAACAATCTAAATACCCAACTACAAGGGATTAACTACATAACACATAGATCATTTATGTCATAGTCTATCAGGGCATTAAAAATGGTAATGCATATCTGTTATTTATCGTTGCACAGAAACACTAGACATACAGTATTAACTGGAAATTGCCAGTTACAAAAAATAGAATTTCTAAGTGGATCTCATTCAGTAAAAATCAAATCTCTCTCTCTTATAGAGAAAAGTCTAAAGAGTCACACAAGAAAGTGTAACAAACACTGAGTCTGGGTTGATAGCATTTGGGATCATTTAAATTCTGTTTCCTTTGCTCATCTACGTCTCCCAGTCCGTCATCAGTAAGCTTGTAGGAGTGGTTATGAGAAGACGGCCTGGCCATGCAGCCCCAGGAGGTGAGACCCAGGAACCAGGGGAGACCAGGGGAGACCAGGCGTGGGTGCGAGGGCACTGAGTCCACCTGCACCGTTAGCCTAGTTAAGGAGAAAACTACTCACTTATCCAGCAGGTTCTCCCTCGGTATCCGAACCTTGTCAAATCGCAAAATCCCATTATCCACACCGTGCAGACCTAGAAAGAGCAGAGCGGAGAGGGAGCTGCAGGGCCAGTGGCTGTGCAGCAGCTTCCCAGGTCTGCCTCCACGAATTGCAAAGCCCTTTGTTTCACTTCCAGGATGGCTCACGCTTTCTCATCTGGGGTAGGGGATGCTGTTCACTTGTTTCCTTGAAGAGCCTGTTTCTCCAGCCCCCTCTTCCCTCGCGAGAACGGAGGAGAAAGTGCTCCACCATCTGTGCAGCCCACCTGCTCCGAGACTCAGGTGGGGGGTCTGGGGGGCAAACAGCTTCCTGCCTGAGCAGTTGCTATGACTAGAAAAAGGAGAATTCTAGGCACCTGCAAGAATGTCAGGCTGAACACAGAGAAGGAGGAAAGCCAGTTATGCGCGCTCCCCCCACAACCCAGTGATGCAGATCTCAAGTTCCCCCTCCCTCCCGGGGCTTGCTCCTCAGCACACGGGGTGAATTTGGGACAGCAAAAGCCTAAAAGACACGGAGACAGCAGTGAGTGGGCGGGGTGACCTGACTCCTGGAAGGTTTCTTGAAATCTGCCAGATTCATTTCCACATGACACCTGTCAGAGTCTGGGCTCTACTTTTTGTTCACCTCACACTTAGGGAGACAAGGACACACCCGCACTTATGAGCTTACAAGGGAACCAGAGCAGACTTTCTGGGTCTGCCAGCTTCCTGAATGCCTGGCACTGCTTCACGAGAGCTGGGCGACCCCTCTGCTCTCAGCAGCACTTGACATGTCCCCTGAGAGACACAGTCACAAAACCACTTGCAACCCACCCCTGCAGGTGGGCAGTGGTCGGTAATGCTAAGGGGCCAGGGTGAGACTACCTGCCTCCACCAAAGGACCGTCTTTCCTCTCTTTTTCTTCCCTTCTCCCCTGCACCTTCTCATTTGGCTTCACTTGGCCTTGGTTGGGGATGACCAGTGGAACCCAGAGGCACGGTCTGCTCTCACCCAGTGTTTTGGGTTGAATTGCATCCCCTCAAAATTCATATGCTGCAGCCCTAAGCCCTAGTGCCTGGGAATGTGACCGTCTTTGGAGACAGGGTATTTACAGAAGTAATCAAGTTAAAAGGACAGCATTCGTGGGCCCTCGTCCTTCTAAGATGGGTGTCCTTATAAGACGGGAGAACTGGGCACAGAGAAGCACACAGGGAGAACACCACGCTAACATGAAGACGGCTACTTACAAACCAAGGAGGGAGGCCTGGGACAGATTCTTCCCTCGCAGCCCTCAGAGGGAACCAACCCTGCTGCCACCTTGATCTGGGACTCGGAGCCTCCAGGACTGGGAGAGGATGCATTTCTGTTGTGTAAGCCGCTCAGCCTGAGGACAGCAGCCCCTAGCGAAATAGTCCCCCAAGGCAATCCTTAGGACCCATTGAGGCTGGGGGCTCTGGGGCAGGAAAAAGAGAGCCTCACTCTGCCCTCGAGGGACCACACGTCCAGGAAGGGGAGAGGAGATCCAACAGCTCAGGGCAGAGCTGCCCCGCTACAAGGAAACACGAGAGGCGGGGAGAAATGAGACCAACGCGTGTTCACAAGCGGCGGTCTGCGCCCCTCCCACTGCTGCACGGAGAAAACCCTCATCAGGCTTAACACCAGAGTCCTCTCTGCCGTCACTGTTTTGGTGAATTAGGTTAGGATCTTCTCGCGGTAAATGCGGGTGGGAGAGGGGCCACCTGGGGACTCACCTTCTTTATACATCATATCAATAGCTGTCACTCCTGGGTACATGCTTCCCTTTTCATCACGGACAGGAACGATGAAACAGTGGGACCCTGAGGAAGGTGAAGGGACACTTACTAAGCTCTCCTTTCTACAGACGTGATCAAAGCTTTACTCATTTCCTGGGACAGTACACAGCAATGCTGACTGTGCAATTCATTCCGTTCTATGACTGTGCAGTGCCCATAGCAGAGCACAATGCCAAATGCAAAGATAGAGCGTATCATTGTGAATATTTAGGAGATAAAAGTCACTGCGGAATTTTTCACAAGATAAAAACAGCCCTGCAACGTGGGTTTTCAGGGCAAAATACTCACAGGAGAACCGTGTTAGTAAAGGGAAACAGTCCAGGTTTCTGTGTTGGTGACAAACCTTGAGATCTTCCGTTTAGGATGAGCTGGGCAAAGACCGCCGCGTAATTCCCATGCAGCGCGTTTCTCAGCATTTTCTCATGGTGTGTTGATGACAAACTCCTACACGGAAACAGCAAAGCAACGGTGTTCTTTCTTACGGCTCATTTCAACTCCCTGGCTCTATGCAATGAGCACCGGGAAACAGACCCACATCGCGCAGCTCCAAGCTTCAGGTGATTTCACAGCCAAGCAGCAGACGACCCAGAGTCATGGAGTTCTGCCTTGTAAGCGTCACACCACCAGCTCAGCACCACCATGCCACCCCCGCGACGCGCACGGTTCGTCTCCCCCTCAACCTGAAAATGACTGCAAATGAAAGCACTTTGTTCAATGAATGATCCAACCAGGAAAATAAGTTGCCCCTTTCTGATGGATGAAAAGTGTTCATTCACTTCTTGCCGGTCTCTCTTCTTTGTTACATTGGTCTGGCCTGCATACTCTTTGCCTCAGCCTGTATAAATGTATAAATTCTTTCCTCCACGAGCTGTCTCTCTGGACTACTCCACACCGAGGTTTTGACTTTTAAATGATCTAAAAGCCCTGGTGAGATATATTCAGCTCTTCACTCGCCTCTCACCCCCAAACACTCCACCTGCAAGGTTCACAAGAAAGGATGGAACATCCAGTGATCTGGGGCCCCTAGTTGG